AACATCCTCGCCTGCTTCCTGCTTCTTAGGTTCGGTCGGGGCCGGTGTCGATGATTCATATTTAACTTCTTCCTTCCTAGCCGGCTTCGTGTTCTTTGATGTCGAGAGTGCAGACACCGAGACCACCTCATCGACCGCGAACATTTCTTTTATGGCTGGCTGCTCTCCATAAACCTTCTTGATCCCTCCTGATGTGGGGAACTTCAGTGCCTGGTGCAGCGTCAAGGGTATCTCCCTCATGTTGTGAATCCATGGCCTTCCGAATAAAGCATTATATCTCATATCCCCTTGAATCACATAGAACTTCATTTCTTGAATGGTCCAGGCGATGTTTACCGGCAGGGTTATCTCTCCTTTAGTAGTTTCGCATGCCATGTTGAATTCGTTTAAAACCCGGACTGCATGCACTATCTGGTCTTGTAGACCCAACTGCTCTATGACCCTCGATCAGATGATATTGGCCGAGGTACCTGGATCAATTAACACACGCTTAACTCGAGATTTATTTATGAGTACAGATATTACCAGTGCACCATTATGCGGTTGTACGATACCTTTAGCATCCTCATCATTGAAAGAGATAGTTCCCTCCGGTATATAATCTCGGGTTTATTTTTCCCTTGTGATGGACACCTCGGTGCGCTTTAGAATCGGTCTCTGGGGGGACGCCAACTCCATTAACGATCATGTTAATGATGTGCTGAAGTTCCTCTTGTTCGGTCTGTTTGTTAAAGTCCCTATTCCTAAAGTGGTTTTTGGCTCGATCACTCAAAAATTCCCGAAGATACCCGTTATTGAATAACCGGGCCACTTCTTCTCTTAGTTGGTTGCAGTCCTCGGTCCTGTGGCCATGAGTGCCATGATACTTGCACATCAGGTTAGGCTCTTTGGGTAGGGTCGAACTGCAATGGTAAAGGACACTTGTTATCTTTGATGCGCCCGATAGTGGACACGATGCTGGCGAAATCGATATTGAAGTTATATTTCGATAATCTCGGTGCCTCCCTGGCCCCGAGTGGCCTGTCGAAACCATTTTTCTCATGAGTCCCCGGCTATTGTGGCCTCTATCATTCCTTTTTTTCATTTATCGCAGGGTTATGCCCAGACCCGCTACCCCTTTGATCTTCGTTATATTGCTGATACCGGTCTCTGTTCGGTCTTGGTTCATGATCGACGGCTCTCTTAGGCCTATCGTTAGTTCTGATGAGATAAACGGACCCGGAGGGACCCCCAAGCTGATCATCCTCGACTCTGATTTTTGATTGATACCTGTTATGTACATCGGCCCAGGTTACCACCGGGTTTAAATTCTATTTCAGCTATTGTGAAGCCAATGAGCTTTGGGGTTGAGCCGTTGAGTGAATGCCTGAACTGCCCAATCATCCGAACCGGAGGCAGGTCCATTCGTTCCATTTGAAACCTCGACACGTATTCCCTGAGCATTTCGTGATTCTTTGTTTTACTTTGAAAATGTCCAATTTTCTGGTCTCGACCTTGATGGCCCCAACATGCCCTTTTACAAAGGCATGTACAAGCATAGCAAACGAATCAATAGAATTAGGGGTAAATTGTGATACCATATCATTACTCCTTTTACAAGGTTTCTCAGAACTTTTTCAGTAAAGCTGACTCGATTTCGTCATCTTCTAAGTCGTTTTCCTTAATGGTACACATGTAAGAGGTCACGTGCTCGTTTGGATCCGTGGTTCCGTTATACTTCGGAATTTCGGGCATACGTAACTTCTTTGTGATTGGCTTCGGTGTCGCGCTCAGGGGGAAAAACTTTTGGACAAATTTCTTAGAATCCAGGCCTTCTAATATCGGGGGTGCTCCTGGAATTTGATCAACTCTGGAATTATAGGTCTCCACTTTTTTATCGTTGGCTTCAATATTCTTCTCCCCCGATTCCACCCGCTTTGTCAGTCCTCAAGCATCTTCTTTATTTCGAGGTTCGTCCCGGCTTAACTTCACCCAGCCTTCCCGTGACTTGTTCATTTCTTCGGGTATTTTCCCGGGATGGTTCAGGCTCAATTCTGCTGGGGGCGCAACTTTGGTTCTGCAGGTGGGCTATCGCCGCTTGTTGAGCTTGTAACATTTTAAAGATCACCTGCAGGTTGATCCCGTCACCTTCACCGTCATGCGTACCCCGAGCAGTTGGTCGGGCTCCTCCACGAACGCTGTTCTCAGGGTCGGTCAACAGATTTGCATCGATGGCCACATGTGAGTTGGCATCTATCGGGTCCGCAACTGGGACTCCGTTGAGGTCAATAGGGGGCACCTCGTTGCTAGGTACTATATTGTTGTTCTCGCCATGGTGGCCAGACTCAGTATCAACGTTCAACTGAGAAGATTGAGATTTTGACATTCTTAAGTTGACTTGAAATTAAAATCTCAAAGAACAAGCATAAAACAAAGTGCGTTGTGGAAATTTGTATCAAATTACTACTATTATCCTTAGCCCCACGATGGGCGCCAAACTATTTACCCTTAAAAATGGATAACAACTGAATTCTTACGCGGTTTTAAGAATATGTGAATTAATTCAATACAAGTGAGTAATAACATTAGATGAGCAGATTAAAGATAGAATAAATGGCCAAACTAGTTGTAAGACAACCAAACCCTTATGAAGGTCTATGAATAAAACTAAGAACTTAGAATAATCTTTAGAAGCAGAGAAAACAAATGTATATTACCTTGATATATGTGCTATAATGTGTCTAATGAATAATCAACTTCCCCTTTATATAGTAGGGGAGTTTTACCCTAAGTACAACTCTAAAAAGGATAAAAATCTTCCTCTACGGGTCGAGATTCATGCCGTGACATCCGGTCGGACAGGGATATCACGACCCATCCGTTCGGTAATGCTCTCCGAGGTCCCAGAACTCGAACCGGACCAGGAGGCGTGGTCTCGACGACTCCGAGGGCAGGTGTTTTGCTCGGGCCTTGATGCGAGAGGGTCCTGGCTTCGAATCCGATTCACTGCAGTCATGCCCTTGCTTCGCTTGCCTCACCAGAAAATTGGGGTGCTCAGCACCCCTGGTTTTACCCGTACACAGAAACCTCTATTACAAAATTTTATGTAATTTTAAATACTGAAGATCAATATTTACAAAAACTCACAGTCAAAACAGTATATGATTCATGGCCAAACAATTCTAGCGGTACTATTTCCTTTCCCACTAAATTTAACCAAACACTACGAAATTTGGTTCCTCAAAAAGAGATAACCCCCCTATCAAACAAGCCACTTAAGGGCGGATAGACCGTCCACCCAGTGCCTCTTGCGCTTGAATTGAAGTAGCGCCTTTGGAATATGAGTAGGGCTCCTAAGTGGCGCGTTCTGTGAGGTTACAAAGGTCGTGACTGAGTCTTGGTTGATTAGCAACTTGGACAAAAAAAGAAGTGACTTGGACAAAAAGAGTCATTTCCACGCCACTGATGCTGGAGTTGTCGAAGCTTGGGCTGTCTACTATGGAATGAGGCTAGCAATGGAAGCTTTCTTTTACCGAATAGATGTGGAGACAGGCAGTAAGAGAGGGATTCGAACCCTCGGTAAACAAAAGGCCTTTGGGTTCCGAACTCTATATAGGGAAGGAGCAAAGAGATGTAGAAATAGAAACAGCTTCCAAAATGAAAAGGAAAGAGAAGATCTTCGGATATTTTTTCCAGGGGAGGACTTTCTTGATCGCCTCCTTCCCAAGGTCTGGTCTCTTCGGTACAGGTACGGACTTTGAGTAGACGGCCTTTTTTCGACTCTTCCTCAGAGAAAGACGATCAAACTGGCACCTTCTTAAAGCACCTGCCCGACTTTCTTCAGTGAGATAGCTATTCTCCTAATCAACTACCCTTCAATTCGAATTAGCAAAAGCAATGTCCTCGCCGCCACCTTCCTTCAGAGGTAGCCCGATTGGAATCTTGTACACTACTTGCGCCTGTCTGGTCCGATCGTTTAGCCGCTCGTTTAAGAAGGAGTTCGAACGCAGGTGTGGGTTGGCTTATAGTTATTCAATTACAGATACCTCCCTCTCCTAACCGACCCTTTCTAAAATACTCAAAAAAAAGACTCGAAAACGGAACACTTTCTCTAGCGGCCTCTTGGCTTCTTTCTTTTCCGAACAAGGGTGTTCTATTATGTTGGTAATAATGGAACCCATGGATAGTTTCATTCGAGATCGTGATGGAGGACGTCATTAGTCCGATCCTTTGTAGGAACTACCGGTGATAAGGGGAGCTACGCTTTGTCATTTCTGATCCCCCGTTCCACCAATGCTACTTTCCTTGCTTTGATTCCTAATATTTTTATCTAGGACTACGGTCTTTCCTCCTTTTATGTTTGTCTCGTTTGTTCGAAAATAACTTCTTGCTTTTTTTTCCTCTTGCTTTCCCCTTTGACCTGTGCCAAACTCCACTTTTGTTGTTGCCAGGTGGAATGATTCATTCAACTCCGCCTTCTCTATAGAAGCAGTCAACTGAGATCTGAAAAAATTAGACTTCTTATTGGGGGAAAGTCCAAGCAGCTCGAAGAACCCTCTTAGGCCTTTTTGTTTAAGGGTTGCTCGCCTTTTGAATAGAAGGAAGTGGGAGAGCAGAGGTTATTTCGGTAAACCGATGCATGAGCGACTCATGAATGCTGCCGGGTTGGACGAGTTCAATAATTTCGAAAGAAGAGCTGAGGGCTGATCTACGACCACCCTCTCACTCATGGCACACATAAGGTTGGTCTAGACTTTAACAATTAGTCATGCCTTCTAGGCAAGCACCCTTTTTCCCTATTACACTGGGAAATTAGGGAAGGGAAAGGGGAAATACCTTTTTTTTAAATACTTGCGTTTAACATTTTTTTGATTTGCAAGACTCGTTTTATTTCTGGATGATGTTCAATATTTTTACCAGAATTATTTCATTAAAATAGTCATCGCAACTCCTAAAGTACTAATGACTTGAAAGGCACAAAAAATAAATACAACAGAAAAATACTGAATAAAATTCTTGAAATCTCAGAGTAATACATTAACAAAACAAGCCAACCAATATCACAAGTAGGTACTTCTAACTGTCCATGATAGAAGAACATAACATACATAAATCTCAAATGCAAATCAAAGTATTCAAAGTAAGTAGCAAACTAGCAATCTAGTCAATAGATGTGCTGTTGGAACAAGATGGTCTCATATTAACACGATGTATGTAAACATCTAAAACAACTGGTATTAAGTTGTGCTTTCCTCCTTGAGCTAGTTCAAAGACACAGATATCAAACTCCTCCACATCATTATCCATAACAAAATCTTCCCAACCACTTTGCATCACAAGTCCTTCCTGTCTGTAACTAACTGCAACTGCCCACCTCCTTCCACTTGAAGGGACTCTCAGGTTAATTGTCTCATATTTCTTCCTCATGTATCTGTTTGCCCATTTCTTTGGGAGTTTCTGCTTGCACATATATTCAACAAACTAGATTAACACAAAAACAGCTGGAACAAAAACTAGACTCATGGTGGGTTGCTAGTACATATTATGTGAATATATAGAGAGAAATCAACAGTAGCGACATACAGAAGCAGACCTAGGATTTGAAAGTCAGGGGTGTACTTTTACATTCAACCAGAATCTGCTTTGTATATTGGATGCCACTACTAATATATCAATATTTTCTAAAGACATATAAAATGCTGAATCTCTTTACAACATAGGTACTACTATCATTTTGGCTAATGTTTAAACAGAAAGGATTTAACTTATGGTATAAAGAATTTTTACTTTCTCTCGTGTATTTTAACCTATTGTTGTAAGTTTATAGAAGGACAATAGAACATATACCAGCTGACCCAAGTAGACATGGGTAGGCTGCATTGTCATTAGAAAAAAAGGCACAGAAGATTTGTGTCTTGAAGCCTGTTGAAAGACTTCCTCTCTCTTTGTAACCTGGTGTCGGTTTGAGAATATGGGCATTTTTTCCTCTGAACAAACAATTTCTCCAAATCAGAAACCATAAATATGTAGGAAGAAAGAAAAGAGACAGATTCAAAAGAATACAAGTGCAATTGAAAGAAGATTTAAACTTAACCAGGTTCAATGTTTTTCTTTCGCAGTGAGGAAGGTGTACATTCCTTTTTCCTATTGATCTGCTGCTTGGCTATCAAGATTTTCTTCATCTTCTTCCCTTTGCTAATAAGCTGAGATGAATGAAACGCATACTTTTTTCCATAACTTTCTTCCTCACTTGAATGTTCAGTTTCACTACTCTCTTCTTGATCAGTTGTATGTTCATCTGGATGTTTACATGGGTTCCTATTTTTGTTGACAAAGAAAGTCTCCTCTTTCTCGCACGCGCTAAGGTCAAAAATACCAACATCAAAAGATGAAAAACTTTTCATCTTGAATACTAACAGATCTGCTTCTTCCAAACAATGGTCTTTGACAAATAGTTCCCAACCATTGCAAAACATATAATCATCATCTTCTCTTCTCTTAACCTCAACTGTCCATGTATTTCCACTGGGACCCCTTAGAATCTTTCGGCCCAACAGTTTGTAACTGTCCTTTAAATTCAACACAAACTTGTGCGGAATGCGCTGCAAAAATAAAATGTTTCAGCTACAAATTCATAAATATGAGGAGAGAACTCTGCATTTTTTGGAGGAAAAAGAAAAAGAGGGTGACTCACCAATTTACATCTGAAATCATTCACCATTATTTTGAAGAACTGATGTTTATGGAACTCTTCCCAATACTTTTGTTTCTCAATCACTTTGCACCTTTCACAGATTGTAGCCATTTTCTGATAACTAAGTTTTGTTTATGGAAGAAAAAAAGAGCAAAGGAAAAACAAGTAGAACTAGGAGGCTTAATAAATTTGAAGAAGAAAGATGGAAGAAACTTGGTTTTCTATGAGCCGAGCGTAATGGTATGTTTGACGTGTTGAACACATTTTCATCATCTTGCAAATTAGCTACCATTTCTAGTTACAGTTCAAGTCTCTTTACAGCTTTTCTGCAGAGCTCAGTAGAGGAAATATGAAAACTTTACCCCTCACAGCCGTTTAATATTTCCCATATTTGTATCATTTGCCATAATCTGAAACAGTCTTATCGTATAACCTTTTATTGCTTCATGTGAATTCAATGCATGCTGACACGAGTTCCCATTAGAAACAAAATAAGCCCATTTCATATGAATTGCCAGTTTCCAATTCGAGCTATCTTTGACTCTTTCTACTTACTGTAATTCTACACATTAGACCTTATATTATATTTAATTCCAATATTGATCTCCATACTTTGGGCTGTAGGAATTTATAAAACCATGATTTTATTCTGTTCTATTAATATCATTGGATCAAATCAAATTAAAACGATAAATTGAAAGAAGAAGGCGAGACAAGTACCTTAAAAATGAAAAAAAATGTGATAGTATTCGCGTTTCCTGAGCGGGTCAATTTCATCTCTCATTTTGGTTACTTGTCATTTTCATGGTCATTTTGGATTCTTCAACTATTTTCCTCCTTTTCTCATTTGCCAGGCAATTTAGAGGATTACTTGCGTGTACAGACATACACACACACACACACACACACATAGCGAGCATCTACTATATCCTACAATTTGATTACATTACCGGAGAGATACATACAATATTACAAAAATTGTCAAATCTATATCTTTTCTGTTCGTCACCAAATTAGCCATTTACAAGCCTATTCTGTAAAAATAAGTGTTTGTGCTCATTCATTGGCAAACGTATCTCGGTCCTATAAGGATCCACTTTTCCGTTCAGTTGCGTTAGATTTGAAGTAACTCAAGTCTGTAATCCAAGAGGCCAAAGCAAAGCACTTAGATCATCTGCCCATTGATTCTGCTTTGCTTTCTTCTTTTACCATCTCAGTATATACACTACAACCTCTTATGGACATAACTTTTCTTTTGGGAAAAAGAATTCATGAGTTCAATGTGAGAAGGAACTTGCATCAGTGCTATAAAATGAGTACTCACTCAAGCTGAAGTTTAGCCGCTCTTCGTCCCACTTAATTATCTCCCTTGCATACTTGAGCGATTCATCTACTGTTTTTGGTTCTAAACCTCTTACTAGTGAAACATACAGCTTCCTGTTAGTGAGAGCAGTAAACAGCCTCTTGAATTTTACTGCAACATAATGATATGCCAACTGGCCCAACGAAGGGCTATGGTTGATGCTGGTGGAGTTGCTGTTGGAGCGATTCCGGCTAACGATTGGATGAAAATCGTCAAACCACTCGCATTCCGTCAAAGGAACATGTTCTAACTTCTCCTCGAAAGAATCATACTTGTTTAGTAAGAGAAGGAAGTCCATCTGATCAAAGGTTGGATGAGTTACGATGCTCTCGAAAAGTTTCTTGCTCAATAACATCTTGTTAACTGTCTCCCCAGTTTCCTCAACAACATATTGGTCATAGTCGCTTAATGAAACACAGAAAATGACCACCCGAACGTCTTCAAACATCTCAAGCCACTTACAATTTTCAATGAACCCCCTTGCCTGTACTCTAATCAGCTGAAATCTGAGTAACAGAAAATGTAAAACAGTTAACAACGCATCTATCAAATCCGTAAATGACGGGCTATTAGTTACTTCACTTCTAACCCTATATTCATTTAAGCAGATCCTAAAATCAATTATAACTCAATTTCCCATTGGATTAGCTACATTGAGAATCCCAGTCCAATCATTCGCTTTCAGTTCTCATATCAATTACTTATCTTGGACCCAAGATTTTCGCACCAGACATGACATGGGTCTCTTACCAACATAATAAATGAAAGTTTTTACTATGTCGCCACTACATTCTAGGTTAATCCACATTAGTGAGAGAGTAGCAAGTCAACGAGGCAAAAGTGCTTCCCCATCAAAGGCATAACAGTGCAAGGGTGAGTAAACCAAATGTTAATTTTTACTCTTCAAACCTGAGCACAGAATTAGGATGATCACTGCTGTCAAGATTATCATAATCTTCTGAATCTGGGAATGAGAAATCCACACATGAAAGTCCATTGGAAGAAGTAACACCCTCAGCATATAAGATATCCACATCTGAAGGTTCATAGTCTGTTTGTAAAATATCAACTGCCTGAAACAGGAAAACAATAGATGCAGAGAAATTTAGCAACACATGAAAGATTGTAGGAATCAATTAAGGAACTCACAGTAAAATAATCCATGCCAAATGCTACTCTGTCATGGTATACTAAAAACTTGGAATAAACAAACTAATTTTTCAATGTCAACCAAGTTTAGTCCACTAAAGTACCATAAAAGATGTCAATTTTTGTTCCGATCAAGAGTGTGCGGGTGTAATCAAATCAACCATCAAAAATATCATAAAAGGTAGTAACAAGCTATATTGCCAGAGAAGTTAAGACACACCAATTTCAGTTGTTATCAGGTGTCTTAGGGTCTAGACTACTTGGGCATACCTTTTTGATTAATCCAAAACAGAGACGCTTCACTATTTTACGGTACTCAACACTCTTATCAACAACAACAACAAAAAGCTCACTCTAATCCCACAAGTGGGGTCTGGGGAGGGTAGTGAGTACGCAGCCTTACCCTTAACTTGTGCAACAACAAAAAGCTCACTGTAATCCCACAAGTGGGGTCTGGGGAGGGTAGTGAGTATGCAGCCTTACCCCTAACTTGTGCAGGTAGGGAGCTGTTTCGGATAGACCCTTGGCTCCAAGCAAGCATGCAAAATCAACAGTATAGAGAAGAAATACAGTAGTGTAAAGTCAGGGAAATTAGACATATATCTTCCCCTGATATAGTGATTCTTTCAAAGAATTCTATACTAGACAAATAATGTCATAAAATTTACAACAACAATTTTATTTCAAGAATACAACTTTGAGTCCCTTTAATAACTGTGACAATTTAAAATGATAAAACTGACAGTATTATCAAAAAGAAAAAACAAAGCTACCACTAGCAGTAACATTTACCATCAGGTGATAAGCTTTGATATTAGAAAGGATCTCGTGCATCAGGTTGGCTTACAACTAGTACTCAAACGTAAGAACATAGGCGAAGTCACAAGGCAGTGAGGCACATGTCGCAATAACAATAACCCCCTGTAAGATGGAACCTATTTTTGATAAAGAAGTCCTCCAATCACAATATTGCCCCACTTGGGTCACAAGCCCACGCTACTGAGCTCGGCAAGATGGAACCTATTTTAAATAGCCTTTTTCTTTCTTTTAAAGGTATGAAGTGTCATAAAGTTAACAAGGGAGTAATCCTGCATCTTCTTGATGCCTTCCATGAATCTATTTACTTCATAAAAAATAAAAAATAAAAATAAAAATTGAAAATGGGGGATAAGAGTTCCTTGGGACCAAACAATATTTGTCTATTTAGTTGGGACAGCATAGGTGGAGGACAAATGTGAAATGAAGGAGATGAAATAGCTGTAGGCTTTGACCATAAAACGAAGAATCTAAGGTACAAGTCTTCAACCTTCAAATATCAATTGCAAGCAATTATGCATAAATGTGGTATCATCTAACTGAGTAAATTGTCAACATAGAATTTTCTTACCCGCTCTAAGAAATAACAAGGCATGTCATGAAGCATTTCCAGTTCACTTCTCCGCTTATAAGTAGCCTGGATGGCTGAATCATTCCACAACTCCTCAATTAATGGAGCATATTCCCGTGTTGCGGCTGGGAAAACGGCTTCAAGATTACCCGTGGCCATTATTTTGAGAAGCCAATCTGAGAATGCTTTCAATCTCGGAGGTATGGAATATAATGTTTTCTTTTCAATCCCAGTGCTATTCCCTGATGTCATAAGCAATAACTGTTACTTAAGGGGTATATTGCAAGAAATCCAGGTTCACCAAGTAGCTGAGGAAATACAAGCCTCTAAGCACACATAACTAGACAAAACAATTTATGCACAAATTAAAACAGTCGTCCAACCTTGACCACAGACGGGATTATTTATTTCATCACAATAATTAACATTCAAGTCTTCTGGGCTCCCAGACAAACATGACGAGATGCACACGAAGTGTAATGTTTATGGAACCAATTAAAAGGAGGAGCCCGAAAATTGTAATACCTGTCAGCCTAGTGTCACAAGACAAAGAACCCTCGCGCAATTCATTCAAACTCTCTTCCTCAAAGCGCTCGCGGCCCTCAAGCAGCACACCAAGGTATCCATATACATTGCTTTGGATCAACAATTTGATATGTTCTCTCTCATCCTCCGAGAAAGGAACATCCTTGTAAAGAATTTTTGCCTAATTTACCAACCATAAAAGCCAAATTAAATAAAGACAATATAGGGAAAAATCAAGGTGCATAATAACATGGCTAAATGGGAACTGGCCACTTAAATCACTTAAAAAAAAACAAGCAAAAATAGAAAGGGAATCAAGAAGTTAGTTGAGGTGCCCAAATAGAAATATTTCCTGAACTGAACCTACCTTCTAAGGAACAAAATCAAGTAATAATATCGTCATTAAGACAAAAATCAGCAACATGTGTTTAATATACAGAGCCTCCATCAAGTATTTTTTTTTTTTTTTTATTTTTTTTTTTGCAGAAGGTAACAGATTGTTTAAATGTTCAAGTTTCTAATTATACTGGTATTTAGAAAGCATAAAAATCTGAGGAGAAATATAACAAGATGGAGCAAACCCAAAAGGCAAATGAGCATCACTTTAGCAAATCGAGGTACCATAACAAGAACTCACTTGCCCATACAACCAAAATTTAACTAGTTCTTCACCTCTATGGCTCTATCTCTCTGTATCATTTATATTTTAGCATCTTTAAACATCCTACTACCTAATTCCTTCGATTTCCAATAAAAACATCTTTAAGATCATAATAAAGGCAAGTCAGGTCGCAGCAGCTGAAGTGATTCTTCTTGTCAGTCAGGTCAACAACATAAAAGAAGCATCAGCATAAGTCTTGCAAAGAGAAAACTCTATGTAAGACAATATCACAGTATGCCACAAAATATCTAGACTGATAAAAAGATGAAGAAAAAAAAAAAGAAGACGAATAGCCTCTAATTGCTCACAGACAGAATACAAACAAAAGCGACAATTTGTAAACAACAATAAGCTAAAAAAAGGTTCTTCTCAAAGAAGTTGCATAGATGGGAAATTTCCTTTCCCTTTGCTTTTTTGCTTCATTTTTTCCTCATCTAGCAAGTAACTATAGGATGGGAAGATGACTGCATTGGAACAAGAGCAAGAAATGAGAAGGTAAGTGAAATTTCTGCTTTACTACCAAACTTTTTTTGAGATAGTAACTAATGCTTCTTTAAGAGAGAATAAAGTCCGGAATCTAACATAAATCAGGTGAATATAAGATGTTGTGAAACAAGATAATTGAAAGCAATGGAGCTGGTCATCAGACCATTATATGCGTGGAGAGATAACAGATAAATTATATTAGCTAAAACAGCAAAGCGCAAGGGCTCAAGGAGTCAACTCTAACAGTAGAAAATCACCTGCTTAAATATAGTGCTAGTACCAGATCCACTATATCCAATCAAAAGTAGCTTGTTTAGTGCCCTCTGTTCAAGATATTCAGGTACGGCTTGACTAACCACACTATTAACTTGCTCTCCACAAGTATTAGATGATTTTGAAGGAACTGGAAGAGAGAGTACGGCACAAACCAGCTTCATTCCAGCCTGAAAAGTTAAATACTTTCACTGAGCACCAGAAATGGCTGTATGTTTGAGTATGCAAAGTGGATAAGTCGAGGACCCAATCATGGAACATAAATAAAACAATTATCATTTCCATATGGTAATTGAAGTCAAACAGGAGCAAACCAGGTGCAATTCAATCCTTATTCCTAGCAATGATCCTCAAAAATGAAAGAAGGATAACAAACTCAAATCGAGCATAAATCCAACCTTGCCCCATATATATCCTTTGGTATTTTTCTGTCCCTCTTCCTGATATGAACCATCCTCATTCACCCAAAAATGTGGGTTGCCAGCACATTGTACTCCTGCTAACTGTACAAGTAATCAACAGATGTCAGTCTAAAACAGAAAAAATGAATTATTACCGGACCTTGTTTTTCAGGTATCAAAAGTTAACCTGTAACATGCGTAGCTCAGGTTTGGTGATCTCACGACCATTTATATAGACCTGAGTGTTTCCATTGCTAGAATTTGGCTTAATGGGACCTCCAACATTTAAATGGGGAGTGACAATTTGTGAAGGTTTTTGTCCTTCCTGTCATAATCAACAATTGGGCTTAATGCAAAATATACAAAATATATCATGAGGAAAAAGAATAAATGCTGTCCATAATGAAATTTCTGTTCACCTTTCCCCAGAGACCAGATACTTTGTCATACCAATAATTCCCAGGTTTCAGCTTCTTTGGCGGATTTATGCAGTTCTGCAATATAACAAGCTCTTCAGGAGAAAGACGCCTTGCATTCACACATACATATTCAGATGGCAACTGATTCACTTCACACAGTTTCTCCGCCTTCATAATCTGCCTAATCTCCAAATCATTTAGCAATCGCTTGAGCATCCTAGAGCACTTGCCCAAGTTGCCTCGCTTTGATTCATCAATCGGATAGCCGATGCAGCTGACACACTTTCTTCCCTCTGGCATAGACCCCATTGCTCTAAGCACACAATTGCTGCAATATTTTGCATCACAAACGATACATACCTCCTTCTCAGTAAACCTATTCCCTTTAAAACAACGATAGCATACCCCTTTCTTCACCTTAACTGCGGGTTCTTTCTTTGGTCGGACCAAGTCAGGCTCGGCACCACTAACATCTTCATTAATATCTTCATCCTCCGATTCAATATCACAGAAAGTCACAACTGGAGCTCGTTTAACATCACAGCTAGTTTCATTAAAGCTATCCCCATATTTACGTGAAGAAGAAACACGGGAAGACGGATAATCAAGACTCAAAACTGACTCATTCGAGGCCCAATCTGGTTGGCTCAAATCATTGAACTCCAAGCTTCTGTCTTTTCGACCAGTCGAAGCCCTCAAATTGTGACTACTTCTCGACAAGTCCCTAGATTTCTCAAAACTACTCGAAAATCTAAAAGTACCAGAACTCCCCACCCTTCCCAATAATTCATCACGACTAATGGAAGAAGATGCCAAGTCAGTGGATTCATTAATCAAACCAGAAAATTCACCTACACTCTCATCGCCATTACGCCTTTCAAATGGACTAGAACTACTGGACTGGCCTGAAAGACCAGCCGCCCCATTACTACAGACTCTCTCCTCAAGTGCAGTAACAGAGCTAGGGGACAATGTAGTCTCTGAGCCTAAAGCTAGTTCTTTACTAGCTGAATCATCTTCATCTACCCCTTGAAAAGCTATCACAGATGTAGGAGACACAGTTGATTCTAAACTATGCTTAGAAAATCTTTTGGTTATATCTGTGGCTGAAATAGGTTGAACAACTGGTAAAGTTAACTTGTGGGATAATGGCACCTGTGAAACAACAGTGGCCACTGGTATCCTATCAACATTTATAGGAACTGCCCGTGGAAGATCATGGGTTATAGGTGGACCATCATACTCCATAGCAAAGCAGTATTCTACTCCATCATCAACCACAGCTGGCGACATATTGAGAGAAAAAATCAGAGTACCCCTCAAAATTATCAATTATTTTTACTTAAAAACGCAATAACAGTATAAAACAGAGAAAAATGTCCAATCTTGAGAGTGAAGTCCCTCAACAACTATCACTGACTATTATTTACAGAACAAATACAACAGTGGAACAGAGAGAGGCTGAGATGGGTAAGCACATAAAGAAGTAAATATGCAATCTTGCTGAATCAGCCAAATGCCCCCTTTTAAGATTTCGAAAGTAAACCTAACCCAGAATACTAAAGAGAAACTGAAGCTTGACAAAGAAAAGTGAAATCTCTCAACAACTATAACTAATTGTTACTTATTTACAGACCCAAATATAAAGTGGAAAGAGAGAAACTCAGATGGGTAAGTTGATAAAGACCAAAAATACAATCTTGTTGTATCTTCTACATGCCCCTTTCTAAGATTTCAGAGATTAACCAAACCCAGACTGGAGATACTGAGTAGAAACTGAAGCTGACAAAGAAAAGTGGAAATGAGAAAAGGAATTTGAAGCAAAGGAAAAAAAGAATCAGAAGGAAGACAATAGGAATGGTATTAGGGAAAATACAAAGCTTGGGATGGAGGAAAAATGTGTTGGGAAAGTAGAGAAAGTGGGGGAGGGATTAAGTGGGGGAAAAAGACAACAAAAGGAGAGGTATCCAATAGTGGTGGACACTGTTCTGTAGTGGCATCTTTTCTTTTTCTTTTTTTCTTTTTTTCTTTTACTTTACGCCTTTTTTTTTCCTCTCTTTGTTTGATGTTGTTGCCTTTGTTGAAACTTGGAAGAAAGGTTGCGTCTTTGGCTAATGTGTCTGCGTTTGTCGATCTAGTGCGTGTGAGAGAGAAGAGTAGAGTACGCTTGTTTTGGAGTTTTGGATGGAATTGGGCCACTTGTCTTCTACCTCGTGATTGGCATATCAACATGTTTTGCTTTTAACGATAAGGGACTCATCCTTCCAGATTTTTTTATTCACACATTCTCCATTTTTCACTTGTTTACACTTCAAAGTTCAACCATCTTTTTTAACATTCAAATTTTTGTTTTCCAGCCAAAACTTTGCATCTGCTTTGAAATGAATTTACTTTCTTCCTATTTAAATAGCATGTTTGGCCAAGTTTCTATTGAAATATTTTTTTTCAAAAGTATTTTAATAAGAAAGAGTTTGTGTTTGGTTAATTAATTTGAAAAGTACTTCTAAGGAGCAATTAATGATTGGCCAAGCTTTAAAAAGTGCTTCTAAGGTGTCGTTTCGTACATGGCATAACGATACTAATCCCGGGATAAAGTTTAGGGTTAACTTTATCCTATGTTTGGTTTGAGATATTAACTAATCCGGGATCACTTTTATACTAAAATGGTGAGATTAGTTATTCCATATAGAAGGTGGGATAACTAATCCTTGGGATATCCCACCATTGTACCAAACAAGCCCTAAGTGTATTTTTCTCAAAGTCCTTTTCAAAAAAAATATTTTTGGGGGAAAATCTACTTTTTTTCTGCTTCTCCAAAAATGCTTCCGCTTCTACTTAAAAGCACTTTTTTCTTCTAAAAGTTTGGCCAAACACTTCAACTTTTTATAAATAAATAAAAACACTCTTTTGAAGAAAAAAAATGCTTTTGGCATTGGAGAAGCTTGGACAATTAGACTATAAGTTTACCAAACACTAACCTTATTTTTACTAATGTTGTTGCGTAGCTAACAATGGAGGTCCAAAATTGAAAGTGAATCTAAGAGACTAGGGAAAAGAATAATCTCTGAACACTTCAAGAGTAATTGAGACTAAGAAGAGAGGATAAGTTTATTGATATTTTTCATATCCATTCCTTACAATATATCGAGTATTTATAACCACTCTAACAACCAATTAGCTAAGATCACTAACTAACTTCTAACAACTAACTATATAACTAACTCTTTGAGTTAATTGACTGAAGTTTGAAGGTAGGAGCATCTATCCAACTGTTATCTTCAGTGGGACAATTGAACCATTTCACCGAGTACTGAGTGAGCTGCCTGTTGTGCTTAGAGATCACCATGGTTTCGATAATTCTCTTAGGATCCAGTACAATATGACCATGGGAAGAGAGGGAGACTGGAAATTCAGAGACCATTGGGGTAAAGCCAATATATTTCTTCAGCTCGGAAACATGGAATGTATAGTGTATTTTTACTTAGGGAGGTAACTGTAGTTGATATGCTACAGACCCAATTCTCTTAATGACTTGGAAGGGACCAAAATACTTTGGACTGAGCTTGTGATATGAGTGGACTTTGAGTGACATTTGTTTGTAAGGTTACGGCCTTACAAAGACCATATCTCCTACTGCAAATTCTTTGAAAGATCGCTTCTTATCTATTAAAGTCTTTATCCTGGATTGAGCCAATGTTAGATGGTGCTTCAGAAGCCTAATGGTTCCTTCTCTAGCTTGAAGACTCCTATCAACCTCATCTACCATGGAGCTGTAAGGAATAAAAGGCATATGCGGGGGTGGTTTCTGACCATAGAGCACTTAAAAAGGGGTCAGCTTGGTAGCAGACTGGTAGGTGGTATTATACTACCACTTAGCAAAAGCCAACCAGTGAGCCCAATATTTTGGTCTATATATACACATACATTTGAGATAGCGCTCCAGGCACTTGTTGACTGCCTCAGTTTGGCCATCGGATTATGGGTGATATGCTGTAGAGTGATGTAAATGGACCCCTTGAACATCAAATAGAGACTGCCAGAATTTGCTCAAGAAAACAACATCCATGTCACTTACTATGGTATGAGGAAGACCATGAAGTTTGTATATATTATCCAAGAAAGCTTGAGCCATTGAGGTTGCGGTATATGGATGTTTCAAGCTTATAAAATGAGTATATTTTCTCGGACTATCCACCACTACCATGATCACAGATTTATCGTGTCATTGGGTTAGTCCTTCAATGAAATCTATGCTAATATCTTACCATATTTTTTCAGGAATAGGCAAGGGTTGTGATAGGCCTAGACTCTTCGCACTCTCCCCTTTGCATTTCTGACTACTTCACAACTCTTAATATGTTCAAAAACATCTTTTTTCATCTTTTTCCAGTAATAGAGTTGACTCACCCTTTGTAAAGTAGCACTCATCCCTCAGTGACCCCCTATGGCTCCATCATGTAAAAACTGTAGGATTTGTTTTCTTAATTCCTTGCAAAGTCCCATAACTATCATTACCTTATTGTATAATACAATATCCTTTAGCGTATATAGAGGACTAACTAAATGATCTTGTTGTAGGTGTTGAATGAGCTTCAGTAAGTGATGATCAAATGTATAGGAAGACTTAGTCTGCTCTAGGAAGTCTGAGGATACATAAGATAGGGTCCACAGCTGAGCATCAACCTGGTCATTAACCTTAGGTGCTCTAGATAAAGCATCGGCTACCAAATTATCATGGCCCTTCTTGTAGGTGATGTGATGGGGTTACAGTACATTAGCTTTATGTTTTGATGATCTAACAAACTTACTATCAAAGAACCAGATAAGGAACCTGACACACTTGGTTCACAACTCAAATCAACGGACTTCAGCTTATGTGAGTTGCTATGACTTCAGAAGATAGAGAATCAACACAGGGACCTGATACCCTTGTGTTTCCCTGACAGCAGTACAAAGTCAACTATCTACAGCTAGAAAGTGACTGCCTGCACAGTTAACAGAAATAGTGCAGCACAGTTCTGCAGTCACTTCTCATTTGACATACCGAGTGATTACATCATTCAAGTGATGTCATCCACGTTGTATTAACATTAAACATTAGAACAAAACATCACTTGAACACTTGAGAATTCATTCAAGCACTCCAACCTTTTTGCGTGCCAAGCATTCAATTCTCAAGTGCATCAAGAACAAAGAACAACACTACTACGAACCAGTTCCTACAACAAGTATTTTGTATGTCCTTAGTTGAGTTGTAACTTTGTAATTGTTCATCATTGTAATTCCTACTTTGCTTATCTAGAAGCGTTACTTAGGAACCCCTTGTAAACAATAAACCTTTAGTGTTTGTGTCGTGACTAGAGTTAGTCATGAGTTGAAGTCTTTGTAATAGGTGTATTGCAAAGTGGCTTGTAATAGGTGTATTATAAGTTAGTGAGAGATTAAGAGTTTAATTCCTAGATTGCATAGGTTGTAATCTAAAGTCGCTCATAGTGAAGTTGAAATCCTACCAGTGTAGGTCGTGGTTTTTTATCCCCTTGAGCAGGGATTTTTCCACGTAAAAACTCTTTGTTCCATTTACTTACTGGTTCATTAGCACTATCTGTGGGAACTTATAGTGGACCTGGTCGCTATATAGTTTGCCGGACTCATATAATCTATCAATTGTTATCAGAGCGGGTTCTTTCTATCAGGTTAACACCCAGAAAGAATTCTCATGGCTGCTCCACCAAATTTTGAAGAAGGTCAGTCTACATATAGACCACCCAGGTTCAATGGGCAATACTATGGGTGGTGGAAGACAAGAATGTATGACTTCATCATGGCAGAAGATTCTGAGTTGTGGGATGTTATTTGTGATGGTCCTTCTTTCCTACGAGAGGTTGAGACCTCTCTGATGATGCCAAAAATCAGAAGATACAACGACGCAGATGGAAAAGCTNTCTGAGTTGCTTGAAAGTAGTTGATGATGATGTTGAGCTATGGCACCGAAGACTAGGGCACGCAAGTTTTTCTCTACTGAACAAACTAGTTCAGAAGGACCTGGTGCGTGGTCTGTCCAAGTTAAAGTTCGTGGAGCACAAAGTTTGTGATGCCTGCGCCAGAGGGAAGCATGTGAAATCCTCATTTAAGCCAAAGAAGTATGTAAGCACCTCAAAACCACTTGATCTCTTTCATATGGATCTCTGTGGTCCTATAAGAGTGCAAAGCAGAGGAGGAAAAAGATACATTTTTGTGATAGTGGACGATTATTCCAGATTCCTTGGACCCTTTTTCTTAGATCAAAAGATGAGACCTTTGAAATGTTTGTAGCCTTTGTGAAGAAAATTCAAGTGAAGTTGGATTTAAAAGTAGCCTGCATAAGATTAGATCATGGAATAGAATTTGACAATGCCAAGTTTGATGATTTTTGCAATGAGAATAGGATTACCCATAATTCTCAGCCCCCAGAACTTCACAGTAAAATGGAGTTGTGGAAAGGAAAAAATAGAACTCTTGAAGAAATGGCAAGGACAATGTTGATCGATAGTGGGATTGCGAAGAACTTCTGGGCCGAAGCTGTCAACACTGCCTGCTACTTGGTGAACAGGTGCATGATCAGGTCTCTCTTGAAAAAAACTCCCTATGAGTTGTTGAATGGAAGAAAGCCCAAGCTGACTTACTTAAGAACATTTGGGTGCAAATGTTATGTTCTCAACAATGGAAAGGATCAGCTTGGAAAATTTGATGCCAAGAGTGATGAAGGAATCTTTTTGGGGTATTCTTCTCAAAGTAAAGCCTACAAGATATACAACAAGCAGACTCATTGTGTTGAGGAAAGTGTACATGTAATCTTTGACGAGTCATATCTCTCCTATAAGAAAAGCAACAAGGGTGATCAAGATGGAGAGCCTTTGGTAGTTCCAGGTGAAGTCATTGATATGGCAAACGGAAAGGTAGACATGATGAGTCAAGTGAAGGAGTCAGGTGAAGACAATGCAGTTCCTTCCTCATCAACAGGAGGAACAGGTACCACAATTACAACTACTGAAGCTGAAGAAAGAGTGGTTGATGCAGTTCAAGGTACTCCGCAGGTTGCTGAGAGAAGAATGCTAGGGAACCAGTCAGACTTACCCAGCTCATCT